CCTTAGCCGGTTGAGCTATAGGCGCTGAGCCTTGTTTTTGTTTTTAATGAGTTCCCACTGTGTTTCTCAGGGGTGGCCTCAAGCAGTCCTTCCATAGTTGTTTGGCGGGTCCAGGCTGGGGATTCGAACCCGCCACCTTAGGTGTATGTGGCTGGCGCCTTAGCCGGTTGAGCCACAGGCACCAAGCCCTCTCAGTGGTTTTAATAGTAAAGAATTGAAAACAACAAATTCCCAATATCAGAAAAATTGTTTAAGTATGGAATATCTATTTGTATATACTGCTGTACTTAAAAGTGAAGCTAAAGAGTTGATGATGATATGGGTAAAATGTTAGTGGTATAATATATGAAGAAAAAAGCTACATTCAATTTTGTATATACATTTGGACTTAATTTTTACTTACAGATAAGAAAAAACAAGAAAGAAATATGCAAACATAATAGTGAATACCTCCAGGTAGTAAGATTTGGAGTGTGTGCCCCCCTGTGCATTAGTGAGGACCTGTTACTTTTATAATCAGGAAAAAGCAATATAAAAAAAATATACTGCACAATGAGAATTACAGTTGTGAACATTAACTTAGGCAAATCACATGTGTCCTTTTAGCTCCTGAAGCTGAAGGAGATGTACCAGAACTTTATCATCAAAGGAAAGGGGAAATAGCAAGATGTTGGATCAAGTACTGTTTGACTCTTATGCAAAATGCCCAACTCTCTATGCAGGTAATCCAGGCAAAAGTTGCCTTTTTCTTCCTTAAATAAACAAGATGTAAGTTAAAGCTCAGAATGGGGATTATGCTCATTGAGCTCACTGTATGTTATGAAAGGCATGTAAAATACTCTCAAGTAGTCATTTCTTGCCTTCCTCCTCTCAACCTTTTAAAATCTTGTCATTCAGGCTTGGCGCCCATAGCTCAGTGAGTAGGGCGCCAGCCACATACACCTGAGGTGGCAGGTTTGAGCCCTGTCCGGACCTGCTACAACAACAATGACAACTGCAACCCAGAATAGCCAGGTGTTGTGGCAGGAGCCTGTAATCCCAGCTACTCCGGAGGCTGAGGCAAGAGAATTGCTTAAGCCCAAGAGTTGGAGTTGATGCCACGGCACTCTATTGAGGGCAACGTAATGAGACTGTGTCTCAAAAAAAAAAAACAAAACTTGTCATTCAAAGCCTATCTTAAATTCTACCTCTTCCTTGAAGATTTTACTTTAGCTAAAATATAAGAGGTGGGATAGACATGTTATTCTTTTATCTTTTTTTTAGAGACAGAGTCTTACTTTATTGCCCTTGGTAGAGTGCTGTGCTGTCACAGCTAACAGCAACCTTCAGCTCTTGGGCTCAGGCAATTCTCTTGCCTCAGTCTCCCTAGTAGCTGGGACCACAGGCACCCACCACAATGCCTGGCTATTTTTTGTTGCAGTTTGGCTGGGGTCGGGTTTGAACCCTTGGGGCCGGTGCCCTACTCACTGAGCCACAGGCGATGCCCAATCTTTTTTTTGTTTGTTTGTTTTAAGACAAGGTCTCACTCTTGTCTGGGCCGAAGTGTAGTGATGTCATCATAGCCCACTGCAACCTCAAACCCCTGGGTTCAAGTAATTCTGCCTCAGCCCCCTGAATAGCTGGGACTATTGGTGTGCCCTACACCCAGATAATTTTTTAATTTTTTTGTAGAGTTGAGGTCTTGTTACATTGCCCAGGCTGGTCTCTAACTCCTATGCTCAAGTGATGTTCTTGCTTTGGCTTCCCAAAGTGCTAGGATTACAGCACTGGTGAGCCACCATGGTTGGTCTGATCTTACGAGTTTTTTTTTTTTTTAATTATCTAAAAGATTTTTTTCTCTATACAGAAATTTTACCTAGCCAAATATGTTAGTCATTTTCTCTGTTGCTTCTAAATTTTTTATGATAAACATCTTCCTCCTTTAAACTCAAGAACTTTTTTTGCACCTTCCTAAGGCACTTAAATTCTGTTTTGTATTATCCCTATTTGTATTTCTTATTATTATTCTTACTTGTAATTTATTGCTTTTTATTTTTTTTTTTTAATTTTTTAATTTTTTTTTTTTTGAGACAGAGCCTCAAGCTGTCCTCCTGGGTAGAGTGCTGAGGCATCACAGCTCACAGCAACCTCCAACTCCTGGGCTCAAGCGAGTCTCCTGCCTCTGCCTCCCAAGTAGCTGGGACCACAGGCGCCCGCCACAACACCTGGCTATTTTTTGGTTGCAGCTATCATTGTCTGGTGGGCCCGGGCTGGATTTGAACCCGCCATCTTGGGTGTACATGGTTGGTGCCTTAGCCACTTGAGCCACAGGCACCGAGCCTAATTTATTTCTTTATATCCTTTTAAACTGTAAGAAACTATTTCCTGAGGGCAGGAAATAGTTTTTACTAATCTTAATATACTGTTGTGTTATCTTACACATAGCCTGGACTTGATAAAATCTATAAGGGTAGACTTTTAAGAAATAGCTCACGGTGGCCAGGTGCAGTGGCTTATACCTGTAATCCTAGTACTTTGGGAGACTAAAATAGGGGGAGCACTTGTGGCCAAGAGTTTGAAACCATCCTGAGTAACATAGTAAAATCCTCTTTCTCCAGAAAAATAAAAAAATAAAATCTTCCAGGTGTTGTACATGCCTGTAGACCCAGCTATTCAGGAGGCTGAAGAAGGTGGATTGCTTGAGCCCAGTAGTTCAAGACTACAGTGAGCCATGGTGCTGCCATTGCTGTTCAGCCTGAGTGACAAAGTGAAACCCTGTTTCTTAAAAAGAGGAAAAGAAATAGCATGGAAGCAGAACTGATGGCAGTGAAGAGCATGGACTCTGGAAATATATTATTTATTTATAAACCCTGGCCCTGCTTTGTAGGTGGGAGCTACTGGGTGGTTGGAGCCTTGAAGTGTTTTTAGAAAGATTATTAGAGAGGTGATGTCAAGTGAAAAAGAAGAAAAGGCCTTGGGGCTAAGCATTAAAGAATCTGATGTTCGATTTTATTGGTCAGGAAGAACTTACTCTATTGTTCTTAACCATCTTAGATTTTTTAATTTTCTTTTACCCATTGGGGATAAGGAAGATAACTTTAACTGTGGAGGTAGATTTAATTCTGTATTCCCTTAATTTTTTAAATTAATTTATTAATTATTTTGAGACCGAGTCTCACTCTGTCACCCTGGGTAGAGTGTTGTGGTGTCAGCTTAGTTCACAGCAACCTTTTTTTTTTGAGATGGGAGCCTCAAGCTGTCCCCCTAGGCAGAGTGCCGTGGCATCTCAGCTCACAGCAACCTCCAACTACTGGGCTCAAGCGAGTCTCCTGCCTCTGCCTCCCAAGTAGCTGGGACCACAGGCGCCCACCACAACGCCCGGCTATTTTTTGGTTGCAGCCGTCATTGTTTGGCGGGCCCAGGCTGGATTCAAACCTGCCACCTTGGGTGTACATAGCTGGCGCCTTAGCCACTTGAGCCACAGGCGCCGAGCCAGTTCACAGCAACCTTAAGCTCTTAGGCTCAAGTGATCTGTTGCCTCAGCATCCTCAGGAGCTAAGGACTACAGGGGCCCATCACAATGCCCAGCTAATTTTTCTAGTTTTAGTAGAGATGGGTCTTGATTTTGCTCAGGCTCAACTGTCTTCATTGTCTTTAAGAGATGTAGAGAATTTCTGTATGTATATTTCACTGAATAAGAGGATAAACATCATATCACTAATCTTAATGGTATCCTTGTGAAATAGTTTTAGGATGTAGATTACAGTCTTACTATAAAATTATAAAAACTACTAAAATTTAAGTACTAGTTAAAAAGTAAATACTTTTAAGTCCTGATAATGTACCATGTACATACGTATGTTTTACAGTTCTCAAGATACTTTCATATGTAGCATTTATCTCATTTGAAAGAGTTAACTATAGATGAGTTTGAATTCCTCAAATTCAGAGAGAATAAGTAATATATCTTTATTTTTTAAAATACTTTTTTCATGTTTCTTGAGTTTTTAATATAAGTGGAATATGATTAGAAGAAAGAAAGAAATTTTGAGACGTGTTTAGGATTATAATACTTCCCTAAAGCAGGCTGGGAAATAGAGTTTTCTTTACTGTTAAGTTTGCTTTAATATTATTTGACAGGAAGAGGTGAATGTCTGCTTAACCATAACTTACTTTTTTTCTTTCAGGACAACATAGGAGAGCTTGATCTTGATAAACAGTCTGAACTTAGAGCTTTAAGGAAAAAAGAACTGGATGAGGAAGAAAACATTAGGAAAAAAGCTGTGCAGTTTGGAACTGGTGAACTGTGTGATGCCATCTCTGCAGTAGAAGAGAAAGTGAGCTATTTGAGACCTTTAGATTTTGAAGAAGCCAGGGAACTTTTCTTGTTGGGTCAGCATTATGTCTTTGAGGCAAAAGAGTTCTTTCAGATTGATGGTTATGTCACTGACCATATTGAAGTTGTCCAAGACCACAGTGCTCTGTTTAAGGTGCTTGCATTCTTTGAAACTGACATGGAGAGGCGGTGCAAGATGCATAAACGCAGAATAGCCATGCTAGAGCCTCTAATTGTAGACCTGAATCCACAGTATTACCTGTTGGTCAATAGACAGATTCAGTTTGAAATTGCACATGCATACTATGATATGATGGATTTGAAGGTTGCCATTGCTGACAAGCTAAGGGATCCTGATTCACACATCATTAAAAAAATAAATAATCTTAATAAGTCAGCATTGAAGTACTACCAGCTTTTCTTAGACTCCCTGAGAGATCCAAATAAAGTATTTCCTGAGCATATAGGGGAGGATGTTCTTCGCCCTGCCATGTTAGCTAAGTTTCGAGTTGCCCGTCTCTATGGCAAAATAATTACTGCAGATCCCAAGAAAGAACTAGAAAATTTGGCAACCTCGTTGGAACATTATAAATTTATTGTTGATTACTGTGAAAAGCACCCTGAGGCTGCCCAAGAAATAGAAGTTGAGCTAGAACTTAGTAAAGAGATGGTTAGTCTTCTCCCAACAAAAATAGAGAGATTCAGAACCAAGATGGCCCTGACTTAATGTTTGTTTTGAAAGAATGGAAATGTGCAATATGGAAATGATTTTTTTCCTTAGTCAACAGGTCCAGTTCCACTGTAATATTTACCTGTATAGCCAGATGATTGCAGTTTGAGCTTGAGACACAGTCAGATAAACCAAGTCTTTCCTAGGATTTTAATCAACATGATGTTAATAATTGATATCTAATTATGTAAATTGCCTTGTAAACGTGAAACATGATTTATATTCTGAATTGCTTGTTTCCTATTTCAGAATTTCTTGCCTCAGTTTCTAAATGTAGATCCTTTGTTGGCTAGTACTTGATAGGTTCCTAACAAAGGAAAATGTTGGATAATGTACCTAATAGACAAAACTGTTACTATATTAAAATTGAAAAAATAACTTCATATAGTTATTCTAAATATTTGCTTTCCTAAATTCCTAAAGAAATCTTTCCCTTTTGAAAATACTAAAAGCTAAGTTATTTTGTTGTATTGTGTTATAAATGGGGGGAAGGCCTTGCTGGAAGTACAGTAAATTGACTTGTCTCACTAATAAAAACTTCCATTTCCCCTTTTGTTTTCTTATAAGAATTGGTTTTATTTTTGATGCTCCAAAAGTATTAAAATACTTGAAGCCAGAGAAGAATATTTCTTCAATAATATTGCACAGTTAGAAAACACTAAAATAATTCACTTAATAAGTATTTATTGAGCTGTGACTGTATGCCAGAAAATCTTATCGTCTGCAATAAATTTTCTCATCAGAGGATTCTGGTATATTTATAAACGTTTAAGCCCTGCTGAAAAGGATATGTACATCAGAATTAAATATTGTTAAATGTGTTAGTCATTTTAAGAAATGCAGAATTGGGCTCGGCGCCTATAGCTCAACCGGCTAAGGCGCCAGCCACGTACACCTAAGGTGGCGGGTTTGAATCCCCAGCCCGGACCCGCCAAACAACA